TGGTCATCTAGTCCAACCCCCTGCAATGCTGGGGGTCTTACTGGGGAACATCCCCCTAGTGTTTGGCTCAGCTTGTAAATAGGTTACTTCGGCACCAATGGTCCCCTTTCTGTTCTGCCACTGGACTGATTCCATCTTCCTTATCCTCTTGCATAGGCTCACCTGTAAAGACACAGGTGAGACAGATGTAGTGTGCCAAAATATACCTAGCAAGGGAAGGAGGAGATAAACCAGTTGCAGGACCTTCTTGAAATTTCCTATGTTCCCAGTGACAACATGTATTTATAATCATCCATCTGTTTTTTCTAGAAAAATAAATAAATCTCCAAGTGGTTTACAGCATTCAAGCATAAATCAATACCATTTCTGTATACATAAATATCAAAAATACCAGACTGTAGGATCCAGTATTAATGACTGGGAGCAGCCCAAGCAAAGAAGGGTGTTCTCCGTAAATCTCAGAAGCACGCCACTGTCAATCTCTCTAGTATAACAGGGAAGGAAAGTATTCTAAAGCATAAGAGCCAGCACGGAGAAGTCCATTTCCATGTTACTGAACAGGTGAAAGTCTGCAGATTGTGGCAACAGCCAACAAGACATCATCCTAGGAACTTAATGATCTAATGGGTCTATATGGGGAAGGCTTTCCTCCACTTCCCCTGTGCTTGCTATGGGCATGTGGGGCAAGGGGAAACAGGAGGGGGCAGGGAAGGATGCTCATGTGATGATGCATGGAGCACTGGCCTTAGTCACATTTAAGGACATCCCCTCAGAGAACTATAATTCCCAGAATGGTTTAACAACCAATCCCTCTTCATAGGGAAATCTTTAGTTAGTTCCCCTTCACGCCCCTGGAATAGGGGTGAGAGAATTATGAAAGCAATGCCAAGAGAAAGTTTTTAAGAAGACAAATGACCATAAGGAATCAAATATGTCTTACCAGTTTTTACGTATTATAAATATGTTTTTATTTTATTCTTAATGGCATTGCCTTATCATTTCCATGTTTGCCATCATGGACTCCACTGAGAGGAGAAACAGGAATTTAAAAAAATTGGCATGAGTCAACAGAGCAAGGGAAAAGGTGATTTGTCAGCCTCAGTTTCTCCCTCTCTCCCTACTCACCAAAACTGCTAAGAACTGCTAAGTGAAACATGATTCAAAATGCATCTGTTTCTTTCCTACCTATTTCCTTCTGTCAAAGTTGTAGATTTCCTATCCTGAAGGGTGTGAAAAGTTTTCACAAAGGACAGAACACTGAACTCAATTATTTCCAACCAGGTTTGATAACGGGAGCAGGGGTAGGCAGGCGGGCAGGCGGGGGGGGGGGGGGAACGGAGACAGTGGAAAATGACAATGAACAACAAGATTTCAAAGGCTTATTGTGGAGGTCGCCAGAGAGATAAACTCGCCATTCCATCTTGCCAGATTCCATTCACGCCGAAAACTTCAGACAACTGTCTGGCACTTCTGGATCGACATTTGCATACACGTTTGTTTGCTTTTCAATATAATTAGCTTTTAAAGTCTTACTGGGGAACTGAACAAATGCATTGTATAGTCCCCCAAAACAATGCAACATGGATTGTTTGCATTTGAATTAATTTGCTGCCCAGTACTGAGGCCGTATCTGCCGAGCGAACGCTTAATGTTGAACATTAATTATACAAACAAAAGAAATGGTGCAAAGCCTGTTGTCTTAGTTTGTTCTCCCCAGATTAAGCATTGTTTGTGTTGGAGGTTTTCCACCCTAAGTAAATTACTAAATGTGACTGCTTGGGAAAGTTGATTCTTAAGATGACGTAAAATGTGCCCTGATCAATGCCTTGTGCAAACAACCTCCCAACTGATGCTCTTCGCAGTCCAGCTGCTCTTAATATTCCTCTAATTGTGGCTCTGAGTTATTTCAGATGTTTTAGGTGATGTTTTAGGTGATGGAGTGATAATCACAGCTCCCTGGTCTCTAGTTACCCAGCTCAGCAATGCCATCTTTCCCATTCAGTGCAACATCACTCATCTTCCTTTACTGCAGGGCTGACTAGCAAATGAATTGGCCTCACAGCTCAACAGGGTTCTCGGAACCTATTCCAAAGTTACATTCCTTGTTGAATGGCATGTAAGAAAACTGATGCATAATGGTCCCAAATGGCACATCAAGTTACCTTCCAAAACAGGCATCCCCAAACTCGGCCCTCCAGAAGTTTTGGGACTACAATTCCCATCATCCCTGACCACTGGTCCTGTTAGCTAGGGATGATGGGAGTTGTAGTCACAAAACATCTGGAGGGCCAAGTTTGGGGATGCCTGTTCCAGAATATGGCTGTGCCAACTGGGGAAGTAGGACTCCCATCTCCTCTCCTCCTTCCTTGGGGAGAGGAGCATAGCAACAGACTCTGGGTAAGGCATTAGCCCACCAAGAAGGTGGAAGGAACCGAACTCGGGGGGGGATACAGATTGGTCACCCAGGACCTGGTGGCATTCCCATTATTGGGAACAGATACAGGCTCCCTGATGTAGTGAGCATCTGCAGTCTTGCATGCCACAATTGTGTCCTGAGTGAGAACACCTTGCCCCATCTTTAAAAGGTGGGAGGGTGGGTGTGCCAACTCGTTGCGACAACCCAATCACTTCCATGGAGCTCTGAACTCATGCCTGATCTTGAACTCTTTAAACATGGACTGTTGCTCGTAGCCTGGCTAGCCTTCACTGTTCTGAGCAGTGACTTTCTGAGACTCATCTGCTTTATTCAATATCTCTTCCTTACTCTCAAGTAAGAGTCTCTGTCACTTTGGTTTGGGCAGGAGCCAAGACAGATGCTCATATCAGCCACATGGTATTTCTGTTTCATAGGGCAGCCCTAAGCAAGTTTATTTAGATGTATAAGCTCTATTAAGCTCAGTTTTGCATACTCCAAAGTGTTTAGGATTGCACAGTAAGGTGTTTTTCAAAAAACCTCCAGTATTATACACCAAACACATAAAGGGTTCCTAACTACTCTGCTTGTGTTACTGTTAAGCAACTTTCAGCATGCATTCTAGTTTTGTTTTGATTTTTTATATATAAAAAAATCATATATATTATTACTGCTACCGCTCAGAAGATTCGCAAATGTAATCTTCAGCATAGCAATCGTTCAGGAATGCTTGCAATTCAAGGCCATTGTCAGAGGGCTGTGTATTATATCTGAAGTGGCAGAGTGTGAATACTTGACATGGGGCTTTTTGTGGAAGAAGCTTTATTCATGCCAAGCCTCTTCTGCTGAATGCCATCTATGCCTACGAGGTATTGTGTGTCAGGAAGGGATATGTCAATGTCTTTCCACAATGCTGCTTGATTCCTGATGCCAATCATCAAAAGGAAAGCAGAAAATAAGTAAAACGCTATGGCCCTTGTAGATTTCCCCACAGAGATAGGAGATGTCAATTCTTCTCCCATACACCATTGCAGGGCAAATATCTATGTATCACATCTATCTATTTATTTGTGAACACTCACAAGCTACTACCTGTCCACTTTTTTCACCCCAAGTCCAGCTTTTTAAATCGAACAACAACAAACCAGCTAAGTTTGCGTGGTCAGCAAAGTGAAAAAAAAGTCCATTGCATGCAGGGCTGGTTTAACCATCACATTAAATAACCCACAGACAAAGGCAATAGGAAGAAGAAGAGTTTGGATTTGATATCCCGCTTTATCACTACCCTAAGGAGTCTCAAAGCGGCCAACAATCTCCTTTCCCTTCCTCCCCCACAACAAACACTCTGTGAGGTGAGTGGGGCTGAGAGACTTCAGAGAAGTGTGACTAGCCCAAGGTCACCCAGCAGCTGCATGGTGGTGTGGGGACCACCCCCTCTGCCTTATCCTAAATTTCTACAGCATGAAAAAAATTTTTTTGGAATGAAAACTGGCATCCTTGTTAAATACAGTGGGTTGAAGAGAAGCTATATGAAGTTCCATATTCAATGTAGTAGTTTAGAACAGGCATTTTATGAACAAGAGAGCAAACATATATCTATAACATTCATCAGCTGAGCTTGCCTTTCTCTAACTGGAAGCCCTGCTCTTAAGATTCTATTCACCTCAAAGATACAGTAAGGTATTATCACCCCAGATATTTGTCCCAGCCCTGCACCTTCAACTATCCTCACATTCTCCCTGTGAAAACCCCTAGCACTAAGATAAAACACTGAACCCCTGTGGAATCATGGTGTTTGTTAGGATTCCTAAGCATTTCTCTTAAATAGCTCTGTTAGGGAACTCCATACCTGCCAGGTTTAGAGCATCCCTGTTTTTCACAGGGTCTCTATACAGTACGACACACTAATGCCTCTGAACTTCACTTCAGACTTTATCAGCTGCGACCAGCTGCTGTTTCCTTCAACTCCCAGATAGCAGTGTTTTGGAAATGTGTCTCTTCTGGCTTAGAATTATTATTATTATTATTATTATTATTATTATTATTATTTAGTCGCTTTATCTTGCCCAAAGCAACCCAAAGTGATTTACAAACAGACAACAAATATGGATCTCAAGGGGCTGCTCACCTTTCCGCAAGGCAAACATGGTGACTTTACATGCTCATTTCTAGCTCTGATTAAATGAGTTTCCATTGTGAACAGCACATACAGTCTGGTATAACATGTAAAAAAAATATTAATGCATGCACCTGTGATACACATATTTTAATGTGGTATATTTCATATCATATTTTCTCTTTTATGTATCTCTGATGACCTAGTTTGAAGGGACCAAGGTGTGGTCATGCAATGTGAGGGACTGGTCTGAAGAGGAGGGTTGGGAATTGTCCCCTCCTTCCTCTCTGCTTCTTTCGGAGTAGGAGGGGGAGTGGGAAGAATTGCCCCCCCCCCACTCTTCAGTAGCTGCAAAAGGAGATGGAGACAGGGATGAATTGCGGCAAGACACAGAGCTGCCAAGTCATGAGGTATTGGGGGAAGGAGGGGAAGTTGGAGAACAGATAGCAGATACTTCCTTAGAGAGCCTGGTGAAGGGAAGTTTTTCTTTCTGCAGTTCTCTTACTGCACATAACTGTGGCATTGTGGGAAAGTCTTGCTTTTAGAACTATTGCTTCTTTTCTCTCTTACATTCTGGGAAGTTTTTGCCTCTGCACATAAGTCTGAGAATGTTCTGAACAGTTCCCATTGAGTTCATGAAACAGTGTATCCTGACCTGTTCTTAATGCATTGCTGACCACATCTACGGAACATGATTGTTGTATTCCTTCATGTTATGTTCTCTCAATATCAATCTTTAGTTATAATTTAATTAGGAGGTTTCATGCCTGTCTAGTTCCAGCTCCATTCCCAGTCTTTAATCTATCAGTGATTAATGTAATATGTAATTCCCGCCTTGTACCTATGTTAACCAATCAGCAACAAGATGCTTTGTGTTTGTATCAACCAATCAGCCACAAGCACACCTGTGGCAATGTTTGTAATATTCAATAAAAGAGAGTTCCCGGGGCTTGCCCCGGCAGACGCCTCTCCTTTGACACTCACCACTCGTCTGTCGTGATTTCAACCCAACATCCTGGGAACTCCACACACACACACACACACACACACACACACACACACACAGAGTCTCCAAGGATGTGCTGGTCACTTAGAATTCACAAACAAAGAGCACAATGACATTTGACTCCTGAGACTTCCCGTAGGGACACAGGGTGTTGTTGGGGAAGGAAAAGGAGAGGATCAGATTGAGCAACATCATGCTGATATCCAGGAATAGATTCTTGTCTTGCTCCACATTTGCTGAATAAAACCATAAATACGAACTTTTTTGTTTCATCTTTTTTCTCGTAAATAATTTTTTATTCATTTTCCAATTAAAACCATTCATATTAATAACAAATCAAATCAAATCTTGCCACATTAAAAAAACAAACAAACAATGCAGCCAATTATAAAGTCCGAATTAAATAATTTCAAGGGGTACTTCCCATGTTCTGAATTTCAAGAGCTAATGTCCTTCATTTATTTTCTGCTTTCTTGTTTCCCAATTTTTCTGATCTTGATATTAACCATCCTCCTCTCTCGGTCAACCAGTCTCTGGTATGTGACTCTACATCTTGTTTTGTTTGACAGTTCCATATTTCTATAATCTTGTTTCTTATTTGATCCTGGAGGCTGCCGGGGAGGAACGAATCCCTCGAGCCCAACATGCAAGCAGGGGTTGGTACCTGAGTACAGACCAAGAGAATGGCTTTTGGATGGTTGATATTGGGACCCTACCGTACAAGCCCTTGCATCCCAGTGTCAAAATGGCAACTGGAGTGGTGACATAAAAAAAGATGATGGGGCTCATGTACTTTTAATTGGCATGTAGAAGAGGAAAGGTATAGGAGCTCTGTCCTCTTTTTCACCTGGCTGCCGTACCAACAATTCATAGTATCACACTGTTAGTCATTTGGCAGTTTTCCTACATTAGTGTCAATCTGTCTAGCTAAAGTAATTTTAAATAACAGATTTTTACTTCTTATTGGCAAAATGATAAAATGGATGCTTTTATATGCAATGTAGAAGGGGGGGCAAAGAAAGGGTGAATTGCAGTATGCTATTATTTCTCATGGACTTTGCATCTCTTTGATTTAAAAGCATTAGAGGTTACTGTTCAAAGCTTTACAAATAGTAACTATGGTTTAAAAAATTGCTGTTTTCATTAAAAGACAATAAAACTTCTTTTCTACTTCTCTTGTGTTTTGTTGTCAACATGATAATGTACAGCACAATGATTTCCCATTCAGCATAAAATGCTAGGATTTCCATATAAATCAGGTTCTTTTTAACGTCGTCGTGTCTTAGCATGATGCCAAGCTGTGAATTTAAGTAGTGGCATGTGTCATATTTGTTTGTATAGACTGTATTTCAAGTGACTAACGACAACAATATTAGCAATATAAATTTGACAAATTTCAGCCTACCGAGTGAGCTGTTTTGATAAATATTGTATTAAGTGACAACCCTGCTGAGTAGCTAATGAGGTGGTGGTGCCCTTTTCCTTCTATCTGCGGACCCCCCTTTTGACTATCGGTTTTTATTGGGTGACAGCTGAAGTTGGGATCTTGTTATTGACGGAAGCCGTGCGTTAGCGGTGACAGTGTGGCTGCTGGGGTAGGACTAATGGCTGAGATGTGTCACTTATTACGGCGAGAACAAAGTAACAAAGCAGAAGCCAACTTCTGAAGCTGAGACTGCATCTTCTACCGTTTGAATGGCATTCTCCAAAATATCATTTTTAAAAGGGCATTTTCAAGAGCGCTTAACACACACAAGCATCCCAACCTGATTTTGTAAATGAAAGGTATATTTCAAAGTTGACAATGCCAGCTGCCTACTCTATTAAGTGTGGAGGTGCAGAACCTGCTGGCATAACTTCTGGCTTATGCAAGATCTCAGGATTTGGGCTAGTTGTATTATTATTTATTATTATTATTATTATTATTATTATTATTATTATTATTATTATCAGTTGCATTTAAGAATGACTTCCTATGAAGTGCCTGGATGCAACTTTACAATACTTTAAATACATATGTGACACAACTGCACATATAAAAAGAATGAAAAACCATTACAGTGGTACCTCAGGTTAAGTACTTAATTTGTTCTGGAGGTCCGTTCTTAACCTGAAACTGTTCTTAACCTGAAGCACCACTTTAGCTAATGGGGCCTCCTGCTGCTGCCGCACCGCCGGAGCACGATTTCTGTTCTTATCCTGAAGCAAAGTTCTTAACCTGAAGCACTATTTCTGGGTTAGCGGAGTCTGTAACCTGAAGCGTATGTTACCTGAAGCGTATGTAACCCGAGGTACCACTGTATGTATATGAAAACCCTTTCAAATCCAATATAAATATCAACAGAGAGAGAGAGAGAGAGATCCACTTAGGCTTGTATAAATTCTTCATTTGAAATGGTGATAAAGACATCACCAGATTGATATATAATGGGAGGATGTTACAAAGGACCTGAGTCAAACATCATCTGAAACATGGCTACTGATAATATGGTCTCTGCTAAATATCCCCTTCAGTGAAGAGTGAAGTAATTGGTTGGGAACATAAAGGATGAGAAAGTATCTTTTAGGTATCCTGGTTCCAATTCTACAGGGCTTTGTACAACCATACCAGCACCTTGAACTTAGCCTGGTAGCTACTTAGAAAGCGAGTCGTCTTTCTAATTCATTAGAAAACAAAAGCAAAAACCTTTTTTTTATAGTTCTCTGTCAATGGCCTAGAACAAGGAGGGAGACTGTTGCAAAAGGAACATAAGCTGGTCCATTTTCTTTAGATGAGATGCGGGGCCCTTCAGATGTTGCTGAAGTATAATTCCCGTCATTCCTGGCTATTGGCCACACTTGCCGGGACTGAGGGGTGTAATCAGCCCCCTCTGGAGGGCCCAAAAGTTCCCCATGCTTGGTATAGGCAGTTCAGTCAACACTGTCTGTCTTGGTTTTCAGATGGGGGGGGGGCATCTTCCAAACTCTGCCAAACCTGAGACCTTTCTGCCTACGAAAGATGAGATCTGTTGTTAAGCTATGGCCATTCCCCAAATGACGGAGACTTAGAAAGCTACCTTATTAGATCAGACTTTAATACAGTGGTATCTCGGGTTAAGTGCTTAATTCATTCCGGAGGTCCGTTCTTAGCCTGAAACTGTTCTTAACCTGAAGCACCACTTTAGCTAATGGGGCCTCCTGCTGCCGCCGCGCCGCTGGAGCACAATTTCTGTTCTTATCCTGAAGCAAAGTTCTTAACCCGAGGTACTATATCTGGGTTAGCAGAGTCTGTAACCTGAAGCGTATGTAACCTGAAGCATCTGTAACCTGAGGTACCACTGTATTTAACTTGTGTGGCATCTGCTCTCCAATGTTTCAGACGGGGCTCATTCCTAGTCCTACTTGAAGAAGCCAGGGATTCAACAATGAACCTACAGCGTACAAAGATGATATTCTGTTACTGAACTACAGCCTTACATCAGCACATATTTTTGGGGACAGCTCCCCCAAAACCACAATAAAACAACTGAGATTAAAAAAAACCAAACTGCAGCAGCAAGTACTTGAGCAGAATTTTTTAACATTCGTTTTAAAGGAGGAGTTAAAAGTGACACACATTATATAAGCCTAGGGTAATATGAAAAGGGACTTTGCAAGGTATTGACAGAAGAGGAGGGCAGCAGGTGAGCTTCCAGGCAGTGGAGAGTGTTAAGTTGTGGGTGAACATATCAGCCGACACAGCGATTCTTCAAACAGCTCTTGTTTATTCACAGGCCAGGACAGAACTGAACTGAAGGGTTCAGTCAGCCTGCTTATATAAAGCTCCAGTACAACGTTACTGTAACAACTTTCTAAAACTATCCAATCACTGAACGTCACTTTTGATCCCTTATTTGCATAACTATCTACAGTATCACCCTGCTGGCCCAGGGCGAGAACTTCAGTACATAACAGAGACAATCCAAGGAAGTTTGCTGTAGGTGAACGTGGTGTGAGTGCAAGTTGGGATGACAGAATGGGCAACGTTTCAGGTGCGTATGACATTTTTGAATCATCCCCTATGTTAAAAACACGCTAATGGGAAACTAGCAAAGGAAATTGAAATCAAACCAACTTTCCTGACATATTTTTGTGTGTGTGTGGGGGGGGGGGGTAGTTTGGATAGCATTTAAAATGGTACCCATGCATATAACTGGGAGTGGCTCCATCCATCCTACACCCTCAGCATTCTGTGATTTTGCTCCTATCTTATTCAGCTGTATGTGTCGTCCCAGCTGGTTAGAGAACCCTAAAAGCATTGCATTTACAAAACAGACATTTTTAACCCCCCCCATCCCTGACACACACCCCCCGAACTCTTCCACTTCAGGCCCACTTCATTCCCACCTGCTAGTCTCCCACAGTTTTTAGAGGTCATCTGATTTCTCTTCTGAGCTACTAAAAAGCAATAAGTCATCTTGCTGAATGGTGCTGGCTAAGGACTGGGCTGCTCTCCACAGTGTTACAGCTCCCAGCATCCATCTCTGCTGCCTTTGCCTTCAGTAAATTTCCTCTAAATAAGCCATTGTTTGTCTGGCTGAAGACAGTTTTCTGCATGGATGGCTTAACAGGGCAGCAGAGCATTGATTTATCGTGTAGAAGGGAGGCTCTTTCCACAAGGAGAGGGCTGGGGACTGTATTTTTCCCCTTCTCTGTCTGTTGTCTGAATTAAAGAAAAGACAGATCCTAAATCTGGACTCTTCTTGAATCCTCCACGCCTTCCTTCATCTTTTGTCCAATTGTGTCTGGGAACCACAAAGCTAGGTTTCCAGTTTGGATAAATTAAGTTTGATTGCATAAATTGAGATAAATGGGTCTATGCATCTTTCCCCACAGCTGATATAACATGCTTGGAAGACTCAGGCATCTGGGAATGTTCACCCACCCATAGTGAGGTTCATGAGCTAGTTTTGTATGTATAATATACGGCAGAAAAAGCAAGCCCAAGTGCAGGCAGC